GTATAGAAAGATATATTTGAAACCATCGATTTTTATTTTTTATTTTTACCGACGATGACAATGAAGTGATGATATCTAACTATATACTTATTAATTATTCCACTTGAATCATTAACATTTATTTTTTAATAACTTAAAACAATATAATAAACTACACATATTTTGGAAAAATCTCAGCCTAGTAGTCCCTCATAATCTTATGGGAAAATTGCAACTATAATCCCAAACCTTTTCGTTTTTTGCAGACTACCTCAGTCTTCATTTTGTTCCACCACAGATCTCAAACATTTGACAAATTTGCAGATTCAGTCCAAAATGACGGAAAACGTTAGTTCCATCGTCAGTTAACCTCAAAAATAAATTTAAAAAAAAAGAAAATTTTTGACCAATTTAAACATGACATTTTCGTCCAATGATATTTTTCACTTATTCGATGTACTAATCACTGTTCATTTCTCTCCTTTGTCAGGTCTTATATATGCTTCTCTCTCTTTTATTTATCTTATATATTTCACCATGAATATGGAGAGCAACGTATGCAGATGCGGTGACCATTTACAGATGAAGACCTCATGAACGAACTTGAACCCAAGAAGAGATTTCTCAATGTCGATGGATGTAACTTCTTTGACTAGTAAGATCCTCCAACGCACGACAGATCGTGTGAGATAATCCATATATTCTACGTGTTAGAAGAGAGATAGAAGCTAAACTAAACACCCTACGTGCAAGAAGTCATGGTTCATGGAAGACTTGGATATTAGGATTTAAAAGTGGAGTTTCTGTGAATAGGTCTGTGTTAGGTTTTTGAGCTCAAATGTTGTGTTCATGTTTTGGAAGGTATGTTTATGAGTTAGAAATCGAGTATTGTTTATGGTCATGTAACTTATTTTCCATTAAATAAGACATGTCATCATTCAATAGTGTTGCCTTAATTTTCATTTCTCACAATTTCCTCCCTCCCCAGTAAGCAAATACTTTCAAATGACAGGAAAAATATGTTCGAAAACATGTTATAGATGGTGCATTGTAGGTCTCAAACGTTTTCAATTAGTCGTACATAAAGACCCAAACCTTTTACTATGTCACAGTGTAGGTTCCAAACATTTGTTTTTGAAAGCATAGAAAGTCTCAAACATTTTGAATGAGTTGCATAGCTGGTCCCAAACCTTTTAAGGAATTGAAGCTTATGTCCCAATTCTTTACTTGAATCAAAATATCTATTTCACTGCTTTAGATGCCAACTCCAAACCTATTTCACTTTCGAAACACACAGAACACAATGATCCAAAAACAATCACTAATTAAGGACATGGAACAATTTTTTCATTGGAATATTTACATTTTACATCATAATTCGGTTGTTCATCATACAAAAGAAATTTTAATTTCTTTCTACGAAAGGTAATCACAAAAAACTTTATCATACAAAAAGCTTGTTCAAAATGATCATCATACAGAAAATTATGTTAGTTTTTGTTCATTTTCTTTTTCTTTGCCTTTTGCTTGGTGGGGGTAGAAGTCTTTCTCTTGCCCTTGCCTTGTGATGCAGTTGTCATTAGAGGCATTTCTCTTTCCCTTATCTTGTGATTGAATTGGTTGTTATATTGTTATGTATCCTGCTGTGAATCTGTTTCAGAACATATTATCATCTTATGGTCTGTCCCACCACATCTTTACATGTTATCTTCATTCTAGTCATTGCCATTTTGATGCTTGCGGATGGCTCTATTTGCAACCTTTTTCTCTCAACTTCTTTGGTTTGCCTGCCAGTTTCTTTTTACAGGTGGATTCAGAAGATGTTTTCCCAGCTCTGGCCACAACTCATGACCTAACATTGGTTGGATGACTAGGCTATGGGACCTCGGGCAACCATCTTTGTTATAACATACATCTACATATTCATATATGCCAATGTTTTTCGATAGCATACAAGATATTGCATGCGCACAAGGTATTCTAGTAAGTTGTCATTTTCTACATGCACATTCACGCTTTATCAAGACCACTCTCCTTCTCTTTCCATCCCTATTGCTTACCTTAAACTTTTCACTTCTAGCATAGTCAGCCTTCAAGAACCTTGCTTTTGTCTTTGCTTTCTCAACAGTACTTATAAATTTAGGACTAAAAGCATGATCCTACCTTTGTGTAACTTTCCTTTTGGCATTCATCATCTGCATTTGTTGATGTCTTATATTCTCAAACATTAAAATAATAGGCTTTTCTCTTGCAATCAATATAAAAGAGTTGAATGCCTTACACAAGTTATTCGGTAGGATGTCGCACTTTAAATAATCCTGGAAATGTCTGCTCTACTGTGATGCTGGTTTCTCATTGAACCATTTAAACGATGCTTCATTCATATCTTTCATCTCATTCATTGCACTTTTCCACTCGACGCTGTTGTTTCTAGAATTGAAGGTCCAAGTTCTAGCATTATACATCCCAATATCAATTATTAAAAGTTCTAAGAACCATTCCCAATTTATTTTGTTCTGCGCATCTACCACAACCCAAGCTACATGAAACATGCAGTTATCGGCATCAATACCTACTGCAATCAACAACTATCCATCTTGTGTACTTTTTAGGAAACATCCATCCAAACCAATCGCATTCCTATACCCAGATCTAAAACCTTCTTTACAAGCCCTCAAACATAAGTATATTCATTTGAACGTATGACCTTACCCTTCAATTTTCACTGTACCACCAGGATTAGTTCTTTCCAACTCATCACCATAGTCCCACAGGATCTTGTACTGTTTAGTCACAATTTGATTTACAGGTTCTGCACATTTAGCTCTTGTCTTATAAAATTGATGTTTAAAGATCTCATACATGTAATCCTCATTTACTATTTCTATAAAATTATTCATAGACACTTTGGATTAGATCTGAACTTCCTTATATACTTTTTTGCTAAGTAACCAGCATGCACTCTTGTATTCTACCACACCATTATGCATGTATGTTCGTCTCTAAATGTGTTAATCCTGAAACTTTTGTCTGATTGCTGGTAGGCATACAAAACCCATGGATGGTTATCTTAACATTTTACTCGTAGTCTTGTTCTTTTATTCTTTACAGATCTGACCTACCTTACATTTTTAACAGAATATTGTACAACTGCATCTCTCAATATTTTTATGTTGTCAAACTTCATGCTTGCAGGATTAAGCCAATGCTCGGTCCTATTTGGATTCAAACAGCTTAGTTTTAAATGATGTGAACATACAACAAAATCTAAAAACTTCTTTTTCATACCTATTTGAAATTTTGGATCTTACATGTCTGTAGCAGGATTAAATCGAAGCTCACGCCAACTTCTTCAGTATTGTTTGGAATACTTCTAAAATCATCTTACTCATCCTAGTCTGTTCATCACCATCTACATGCCATGCTGCACCTTCATGTTCTACCCTCAAATTTCCATAACCAATATCAAAACCTCAGACAACTTGTAGGTACATGGTTTTCTGCATGTAAGTTACTCAATTCACCTGCAGGAAAAGGGGTGTGTCTACAAGTGCATTATGTTGTACTTCAGCATTTGCCTCTTGGTGTACTGTAGCAGGTGACTCATTTTCAGGTGAAGCAGGTGACGCATTGTGATCTATAGCAGGTACCACTTCATTGTGATCTGCAAGTATTCGCTTAACCTACAAGAACATCGACAGAACTCCCTGCATCCACTTCTATTTCATTATTTACAACATTACTTTCAGCCTCATCCACAACATACAAGTCATCATCCTCTAGAAAACCATCATGAACCTCCACTGCATAGCATACATTATGCTCAAATACTTCACCGGTGTCAACATCAACAACTAAAATATCATGTCCTATTTTGTCGTCCCATGGTAATTCCAACATTTCAACTCGGGCACACACCAACAAGCATATTCTCATCGAGTAACCTAACTATATTCATAAAATCTGCATCTTTCACCAACCAAAACGATGTCTCACTCAATCTCTTCTTTTCAATCTTATAAACATACATTATTTTCTCAAAATAGCTTAACATCTTCATAGCATTGTCCAAGAGAAACCTATTAAACCAATCAGGGTGCACGTAATCTAGATAGGTCATCTTCCCATGCTCGTATACAAGATTTCGCATCTTTGTGAGTAATACACTGCCGTAATGTAGCTTTATGATGAAATAACTTGAACTTTCCCCAGGACAAAAAATCATAGCAAACGGCTATCAACATCAAACTCTAGTTAAATGAAAAGAATGCAAAAGTAGCGTGACTAAATATTACAAATTTTATAATTCCAACTCAATAACATGCTTAAAATTAAGGAAATATGTACTATATGATCACACTTCATAACCCAATGTGAGGCAAACATGTCTGAAACAGAAAATTTCGAAAAAATTTAAAAACTCACCTTATACGGCCTCGTGTGTGACATATAAAATCTTCAAAAATTTCATTAGATTGTTGGCTATTTTCGTTCAATAATTTAGATGAATGTTGAGGTTTGTACCATGAAAGAAAATGGAGAGGGAGTGAGATTGTAACTAACTAAATGACTTTTAAAAGGAAGAGATCAAATTGGACGAAAATGCCCCATTTAAATTGGTCATAAGTTGTCTTTTTTCCATTTTTAAGGTCAATGACGATGGAACTAACATTTTCCATCATTTTGAACTGCATCTACTAATTCCTCAAAAGTTCGAGACATGTGGTGGCACAAATTGAAGATTGAGGTAAAGTTAACAAAAAACGAAAAGGTTTGAAACTATGACTGCACTTTTCCCTAGTTTTATCGAGGGAACTTGATATTTTTAAAGTAATCCCCACATACTTCTACTTATTTAAAGTAAAATGAAAAAACACAAAATGTACTTCTACTTATTTAAAGTAAAATGAAAAAACACAAAATGCAATCGAAAGTATATATTAAAAAAGAAATTTTCAATTTTTTTTTTTTTGCATTATCTTATACTAATTGAACAAGTTCAACTGCAAAACAAAATTGGCTTATAAGTGAAAATCTTTAGACCATGCACCAGCGCCGCCATGGCGGGACCCAACTTGTTCAACAAGTTTAGCCAATTTCACATGCTTACTGCACCATGCTTCCATTAACTCCATCTCTTTCGCCTCAGCATCTCTCTGCAATGCAATCTGTTGTTCTCTGTATTCCCCTTCAATTCTGCTCATAAACGCCATTTCTTCTTCTCTTAAAGATCTTATTTTTGCTTCTATTTCCTCCATTTTCTCTCTTCTTTTTCGTGTTTTCTCCGACTCGAGTTGCTGTTCGAGGCGCGTCAGGCGCCACGTAGCTTCCTTCTTGTGAAGTAACCAGATTTGTCTTCCTTCTTCAAGCTCTTTGCAGTACTGAATCAGAGTGCTCATTTGCTTAATTGGCAGGAACCGGGTGGGTAATCCGGGTTCTGGTTGAATCGGATCGAGAACCGCCGGTTCGGAAGGGGAAAGAGTTAGGCTTACAGAAGGGGAGTGAGCGGAGCAAGAAGACGATGTCAAAGACGACGACGTTTGGGTGTGGGTGGTGTTATTCATCCATGGCGGGAGAATTGGACCGGATAGTTGAACCGGTTCGGATGAACCGATTGAAAGACCCGGAGGCGGTTCAGGAAGTGGAAGATTAGGAGGAATAATAATGTTAGGGGACTGAAATGCAAACAGTTTAGGTTGCACGTACTTCTCTGCAAAAGTCTCCAAAATATGGTCGTACTTCCCTTGCACCGCCTTCTCCGGCGACACACTACCGGCCACGGCGGAGCCCGCTACCGGATTATCATACTCCTGGCGGCTATTATGCGATTTCTGTAGCTGTTTAAGCTGTTTCTCCTTGAAAACCTCCCACCACTTACCCAGCCTCTTCGCGGTGCGGCCGGGGACCTCGGCGGCGATTTTCTTCCACTTATTACCGTATTTCGCCTGAAGAGAAATCACAAGATTTTGCTCCTCCGGTGTCAATGAACCCTTCTTAATTCCGGGTTTTAGATAATTTTTCCATCGCTCTAAGCATGATTTTGGGTCCCTGTCAAGGGCTATTCCCATTCGTTGAGAGATAAGATTCCATTCCTTAGCACCGTGTTGTCTCACATAGGCACGGAGGAGGGCATCTTCTTCCGGCTGCCACCTTTGCCTCTCCTTCATCTCCTAACCACCACCGCTGCCGGCGCCACCATACTACGACAGATTATTCCACAAAATCCAAATAATCAACAAACCCACAATTTAAATTTCACTGTTTATGCTTGGTTGATGGATTCGGGATTGAGAAGGGGGAGAAAGGGATAAATAGCTGGGGATTTTGGTGTAAAGAGGGTAAAAATGAAGAGTTTGCAGAGGGGGTGGCTATGGCAGAATTGTAGTGAAATGACAGGACAGAATGTGGGTGAAAGGGCTAGTGGTAGCTCTGTACAAAACTGCATAAAGATGCCAAGTTAGGGTATCAGTTTCATACTCTTCAATTTGGTTGGGTTTTTCCAACGCTCCAATAATTAAGCACAAATTTGGAGAATAAAGATGCCATGATGAAATTTTTTGTTTATTAATTATTGGTTGATTTTTTGGACCATAGGTTTTAGATCTTCAACTTATTTGAATATGTGAATTTAAGAATTTGTTTGAGCCCTTTTGTTATTTTGATAAAATGCATTTTAAAATAGTGTTTTGTCAGAGAATGCATGGTTAAAAAATAATGAAATTTTTTTCGATTTATATGTAAAATTATGTTATAAGAAAGTATGTGGCTAAAAATGAGTTACGAAAAACGAATTTTTTAGAAAATGGGGACTAGACATAGGCAAAAATATTACGTGATTAAGCCCCTGTTTGGTACACATTAAAATTTTCATTTTCATTCTTCTACTCATTTTCAACCACACATTTTTTAATAAAATAATATTTTTTATCACATTAATAACTTTTTCTTCTTTTTCAACCACAAATTCTCCATCAATTTACTATTCCAAAATACATTTTTCCAAAATAATGTGGTCGAAACACACTCTAAAATTATGTGTAGATGTTAAAATTGAACACTGGGACTAGACATAGGCAAAAATATTACGTGATTAAGCCCCTGTTTGGTACACATTAAAATTTTCATTTTCATTCTTCTACTCATTTTCAACCACACATTCTTCAATAAAATAATATTTTTTATCACATTAATAACTTTTTCTTCTTTTTCAACCACAAATTCTCCATCAATTTACTATTCCAAAATACATTTTTCCAAAATAATGTGGCCGAAACACACTCTAAAATTATGTGTAGATGTTAAAATTGAACACGACTTTCTAGAATTGGGGAGACTTTTAAGGGTTCTGTTAATTTTGTCATCCAACATCAGGTGAAGTGAAAATTGTGCTTGATTTTAATGTTCACATTGACGATTTTTATCACACGAAAACCAAAATTTACACAAAGTGAGGATGTAGAACTATATCAAGTAAAAAGTTGAAGAGCCCAACCTTAACTTTTTCTTTATTTAATCTATAAATATTTTCAAAACTAAGTTTAGTGAATAAAAATCATCATCGGGTCAATTTGAAAATTTTTGCAGTAAACAACTTCTAACATCACTATAAAGATTGAGGTTCAATTATAAGTTCTAAATTCTTGATCACATATTGATACTTACTAATTAGGCGTTAAAAAAAAAACACCTGTAATTCGTTATTCGTGGATAAGTAAATTGTGTAAGACTTCTGACATGATTAGTTGTATCGAACTATATTATGAAGCATATGTTTGAGCCATATTTTTTAAAATTTATTTTTTCTTAAATTCATTTAATAAAATAATTTTTTTAAAATACTCACTGGGCACCAATAAACAAGAAAATCTTCGGATGTGCTCATCAATTGAAGCAAAACCGATGCGAGAAGGAGAAGAAATATGAAGTGAGAATTGGTAACTTTCAAGAACCAGTGAAAAAGAAAGAATTATTCTCTGTATTCCTTCCTTTCCAAAAATTGCATAAATCTAAGAAAAATCTTACATTTTAACCTCAAATTTTTAAAATATCATTTTGCAAAATTTATTCTATAAAGTATACGCCAAATAAGTGTTGCAAAATACTAGTAAAATAGAGAATAAAAATTAATGAAGATGATAAAAAGGTGAAACACACGCTCCGGGTTAGCGTGTATGGTGAAATCTGAATATGGAAAAGGGACAGAGAGACTGATCAACGCATTTCTCGGATCTGTTGTGAGGGGAAAGAAGAGGGCCCTGTGCCTGTCTTCTTCCTTTTTCTATGTGGTGCGTGCCAGTAGCTGTAGTCATAGGCCTTGGGGGTTTCACTCAAATTCAATTCAAATTCAAATTCACGCACACTGTTATCGGCTTGGTTCACACTGCACTATACCGTTGTTTAGAGCATAAAAAATGGGATTAAATCATTTGGACATTGATTTTGTACACGATGATTGACATGCCTTTGCAAATTCAAAAGTGAATGGCGCGAAACTATTTTTTATTTTCAAACTGGTCAATCATATCGCGACACATGAAACACTGTAAAACTTCATGTCAAGAACCATGTACATTTGGTTGCAAAAAATGTTAGACCAGATAAGTGAAGGGGGTTCTTGAACCCTAACCAGTTTGGAG